GACATATTCTAAAAATAAATATTTTTATTTTCTTGATTTATATTTTGGTGGTGAAATATTCATCTGTTATTCAATGAACTTTATTTTATTAGTCAAACTAATTATTACAGTTAGTTATACTAATTATATTTAAATTCTTAAAATTACCAAGAAAAATAAAATATAACAAAACAGCCTTTTCTTTTTTGTACTTATATAAAAAAGATATTTTTACAATTTTTAAATATTATTTCAATAACTCCGACTATTTATAGCGTCAATATATATTTTCGTCCACGAATTATGAAGATATCAATTGTATAACAACTGGTTTTCCAGCAACACGCAAGTGTATTAAAATAATGACGTTGTCGAACAAAGGAAGGGTATTAAATTTTCATAGGACGGTGATGTCGTGTATAAAGTAAAAGTCAATTCTTATCTAATATATTATTACTAGTTGCAGCAGAGAATATATCCTGTTACACAGGTGGACAAAAGACTGATAAATATTAGATAATATTATAAAGCACTAATACGCTTTTAGAGTAGGAAGTAATTTTTAAATAGAAACAGGGGATTTTCAATATAGAGAAGTCTTAATAAATCTGGTTATATTTAGTTTAAATTTAAATTTTTGGTGTATTTTGGTGTTTATTATATGTTATACAATAATTGTCTTTTGGTAATGTTTTTTTGTATTATTTGATTCAAAAATTAGTGGTTCCTACAAAAATGTAATATTTAAGAAAATTAAAAATCTTATAAAGATGGTTAATCTTAGGTATAAAAATATCAGTAATTTAAGTGTTTTGAATTAAAAAAAAATAATTAAATATACACTGAACGCCACTGAATTGTAAAAAATGTGCAACTTATGTGGCGGATTTTTATTTGAAAGTTGCTGTCTGTCAATTATACGAGGGAAAACAAAATGTTGATATTTTAGTGAAAGTTTGAAACACTCTGTGGATTTTGATAACAAAACAAGGAATTTAAAAATCATTTCATCATCAAAATGTATTTGGATGAAGATATTTGCTTTTGAAGAAGACATTAATATTTTTAATATTTTATATATTAAAACCATACGTTTTTATATATTAAAACTAACTTAAAACTCTACTAAAGTAAACGTCAATAAACAATAATAATACAATGAGTTTTCAATTGAGAGTGACATTAAAAAAAACAATAAACACTTTTTTAGAAGTGTGTTGATGAGGAAAATAAGAGGCATGCTTTCAATGCTAAAATTGCTGTAAACCGTTACTGTCTTATTGAAAAGATAATATCTCAACAAAAGAATAAAGCTATTGAGATGAACCAAAAAACAAGCTATCGAGAAAAGACATACAAAATTATTTTTAAATTTGTTGCTTTGTTAATATATATTCCAACGTTACATAACGTTCAGTAAAATATCAACATTTTGTTTTCCCTCGTATAACTGACAGATGGGAACTTCCATTTTAACATTGAAAATGTTTCTGTTATCCTATATTAGGGAGCCCAAATCGAATTAAAATGCTACATTTGCCACACCATGACGTCATATATACAAGGGTATAGGAAATCTCGGCGCAGCGGCGGCAGTTCGGCCAGCGCGCGCAAAAACCATTACATCGCTAATTGTTTATTGATATATCTTTATTAGTTTAAAAGCAAAAAATATGAGGTTTGCTTTGATACCTTGTCAAGACATAAGCGAAACTTTTAAATTGTTTCTTTTTTTCATTTAGGCCTTCGTTTTTCGTTAAATGAAAGTTATATTAAAAAATCTTTTTTAAACCAAATTTTCGCATGATTGAAATGATTATTCATGTTTAAAGTTTTTTTTTGGTCATAAGCGCTAATGGAAATGTTTTTTTGTAAATAATTATAAAAAATTACTCCCTACGAAGACTTTATTCTGTACTGGATCAAAAAATAAGTATTTGTTTTCTCTATACGGTGGTATTAATATATCGATTTTTGATGATAGTGCCTTTTTACCCTGTTTAATTTTGTACTACTTTCGGAATAAGGGTCCCCATATCATGTACTGTGATGTACTGTACTTCCATCCCTGAAAAATTCAGCTTGTGACACCGAAGTGAGAGGTAACGTCAAAATAAGCTTTAATCTACCTACATCATCATAGGTAGGTGTAGGTACTCTAGGTAAATTCTACCTAGACAGTAGCTGAACTAGCTGACAGTAGTAATTAATTTGTTATCCGATAAGTAGTTGTCATTATATAAGTTTAATCGTCTTATACCTCCTATAACGGTAGGTTTTGGATTTTTCCTGATTGGTTTGTTAAACAAAAATATACTGGGCATATAAATGTCTGTTACAGGTTAATTCGTTAAAGAAATATGTTACACACATATTATTTTAATAATAATAGTATAATAGTAATGGCTATATTATGTTATAACACATTATTGAATTAACAATTGAAAACAGTATTGAATGTACTTATTTTAACCAATGCATTGTTTTGTTTTTTTAATCTCACAAATAAGAAATATTTTATAGTTTTTATTATAAAAAACAGTGATTATACAATTTATTTACACCCCTTACACTGTTTTCTGTAAGGGGTGTAACCAGGAGTATATTTCGTAACCTTTTACGATATAAGAGGGCACAAAGTGTTTTATTACTTAATGCTTAAAATTTAATAATATATTTGTACATAAAATAAAATAGACTAGAAAGTCAATTAATTAATATTGACGTAATTACTAAATAAGTACAAGATTTTTTTTCTAATTATTTTAGTGTATTTTTAGTCACCGAATTATAAAGGAGAGATATCCAACCATTGCATTATTTTACTCACAAATAAATGTTTTATGGTTTTTATTATAAAACAACGATTAATTTATTATACACCCCTTAACCCAAACACTCCAAGGAGGATATTTCGTGACCCCGTATTTAAAGTGGACAAGGTTTATTAGTCAATGTTTTAATTACCCAGCGTCTTTAATAAAAATCTAATGTAATTTTTCATAGAAATGATCTGACATGAAAAGCAAATTTTATCAAAAAACTTTTTGATTATCTACAAGGAGTAAACCGCTGACAAATGTCTGTATACTAATGCCAAAGTAATGCCAAAAATACAAATTAAATACCAAAATTTCTCATATAATGCCCCACTAATGCCAAGCTGATTCCAATATAATACCACTAATACCACGAATAATATGTAACACATTTGTTTCACGAATTAACCTGTAACAATACTGGTAGGTACGTGCACAGATTTTTTCCTAGGTAACTTAAAAGTCGTTAAAAAGTCTAATTATATTTAAAGAAGATATAATTCCAACAAATTACATTATAAGGCCAATAATGCACAAGTAATACCATTAAAATTTTAGCGTTTTTAACTTGTGTAACATATTTCTTTAACGAATTAACCTGTAACAATAGTGGTAGGTACGCGCACAGATTTTTTCGCTAGGTAACTTATTAAGTCGTTAAACAGGCCTATAAAAGCTATAACAACATAGGTAACTAATATTTATAATTTAATTCGAGTTTTAATCTCAAATAATAAATGTTTTTACTGGTGTATTTCTGAAGTGTTCATTATTAAAAGTAGATATTCTTCAAGTTATGCGAAGTAATAAGTAATGTTTCCGGTGAGACCGCGTATATGTCACCGGATTCTGGTTAGTATAAAGACTTTTTCTATAGAAAGAGTTTTTTCTATATTTTCCTTTCAAAATAAGACTAATTTCTTCTTATTCTTTTAAATATTACAGTGTTTCTTTTTCCTAAAATGTTATACTTAATTTTCGCTTAAAATTAAAAAATCACAAATGGAGGAAAATATACGTTATTGAATAAAGTTTATACAAATCACTTTACCATAACAAAAAAGTAAAAACATGTCATGGCGGAAGATATTCAGGTGGCATTTCACACATTTATCTATTAAAATCGAGATTACAATAATAAACTTGCGTAACATGTTATACACGAGATAGAAAGTTTCAGAATCGATTAATACGCAATACGCTACGCAGTCAACTTAATCCTATGCGCGGATGAGCGTCTTCAAGACTCTTCCTTCGGCCAGGGTCACGACGCCGCCGAAGAGGAATCGGCCTACGTTTGGCTAAAACGTAGGCTGGACACGGTGGAGTACGATATTGGCGAGTCTGAATATTTATAAAAATTTGCAAAGTAAAATATGTTGGAAAAATAATTAATCCATAGGGGAGACTCGGGCAGCGCCGATCACCTTATATTGACCTATTATAAAATGTTTAAACTTACTTCAATCTGATCGGGATTTGAAATGTGAATAAATTAACATGTTATATACAAGTGTTAAAAACGTTAACAACAAAATAGTGAAAAATAAGGATGACAAAAATTAAAATTAAAAACTTGCGGAATATCGGTTTTGCCCAGTACCCCAGGGTAAAACCGATCATATCACTATGTCACTAGGGAAAAAGCGATCAGGAATTTCAAATTACTTTTAAAGTACTTTTTTTAAATAAAACGGTTAATAAGCACAAAAACACTTTATTAGCAAACGAACAAAACTTTGGTGACTTAAATGTAAAAAATACGTAATTTTGAAACATGTAGAAACAACTTGGGTTGGGTTAATTTAATATTAATGTCTATTTGACACAATAGTGTCTTTGCATTGGTCACAAATGTATACCCCTGTTATGTAATATGTGCATAATTTATGCGCCCAATTGCAGCAAATATTACACTGTATCCACACTTCTCGTGGACGTGAATTAGAGAATAATCCATAACATTCTAAACATTTAACATCCTCCCCTGGACATTCTTCTTTTGGTGGCTTAGGATAAATAAGCTCCTGTTTTGTTTTTTTCGTTCTAGCTTTTATTGTTTTCTCGTCAGTTTTTAGGGTTTTCTTAATTTTTATTCTTGGTCCATCGTCTATTTTTATTTTTCTTGTAACACTCTCCTTTTTTGTATTTCCTTTTTGAGAAATTTCTTCTTTAACAGGTGTAGAAGTCAAAATTTCCGACTTCTGTGACTTTCTTCTTCGTGTGTTTTGTTTAGAGTCAGCTTTTGGTACTATCAATATATCGGAAATAACGGTAATCTTTTTTTCAGGCGTCATAATATTTTTATTCGTATTTGTTGGATCTTTCTCTATATTACTGGCAGATATAATTTGTAAGCCATCTGTAACCTGGACTAAATTTTCTTTCAATACTCTGGATGGTCCAGCACCATCAGTCGTTTCAGAGGCAGTACTTCTAGAGGCCGCAATTTCTGTACAGTAAATATTTTTAGGTGTTTTCGTTGATTCCAATGGGTTTATTTCGGTTACGATTGAGGGTGCGAAGTCAAGGTCTGTAAAAACGGAAATATCACAATTTGTGATTCCTGTTTTTTTAAATCCACTTATGGCATTAACAGGAGTAGCGCTATTTAAATAGGCTTCGGTAAATATTGAGCCTATATCAAAAAAAGTTACTCTCTGGGCTGGATGAGCTTTTTGCCATTTATCCAGGGCTCTCTCAAAATATTTTCCGAATGGGCCGTATACAGCAACGTCCAACGGCTGGAGTTTGTGGGTCGAGTGGGGCGGAACTGACAGAATGACCACATGATTTTCGGATGCATACTGTAAAACCTTTAAGGACCGATGTGACACGTGATTGTCTAGTATAAGAAGACATTTATGCTGTTCCGTCGGTCTTACACTCGCCACAAAAAACTTCAGCCATTCTAAAAAAGCATCAGAATTAATCCAGCCATTGTCCGTTACTAACATTAATGTTCCTGGAGGGGTTCCTTCAAGATAACGGGGATTTTTCTTCTTTCGAGGAAATACTAAAGTTGGAGAAATAAATTTTCCGGTTGCTGAACAACAAAATAACGACGTTATCAGGGTACCGCGTTCAGATGACGAAATTGAGCCAACTTGCTTCTTGCCTCTTACGGATAAAACTTTTGGTGGTTTTTTAGCTGACGTCTGGATCCCCGTCTCATCGACATTATATATATTGTCCGTAGTAATATGATGCTTTTCCAGAATTTGAGACAGATTTTTAAAGAAAATTTCGACCTGAACTCTGTTGAATCCGCAAGCCCGTGCTACGCTAGTAGGTTCTGGAGTTCTTAAACTTAACTCTTGATGTCGCAGCATAAAATTAGCGTACCACTGCTCACCCGCTTCATTATTCGTAAATGGATGGTGAATATGTTTTTCCTCCGCATACTGGTAAGCTAATTTACAAAAATCTCTCTTGGTTAAACCATAGAATCGCTTATCTAATTCTTTCAGATATTCAACAAGCTCTTTTTCTTCTGCCTCGGAAAAAACTTTAGAATATCTTCCTAACTTCTTTTTTGAAGTATTTAATTTTTTGTGGTCGGCCAGAGTAGAATAGGGAATTCCATATTTTTTTGAAGCCCCCCTAATAGATATCTTCCCTTGCTTTAAGTCATTTAATGCTAAAGACATTGTCTGCTCACTCCATGAATCTCCCCTGGAAGATATTCGCTTATATTTGAAAACCATCTTTACCATGCTACAAATTAAAACCAAGCTCCAAATAAAAACATAAACGGACGATTTTGCAATGAATCTAACTATATCCAATTATTATTAAATAGGCAATTCAACAATAATAGGTAGCTAGTTAGGGCAAAACTGATCATGATCGGTTTTGCCTGATCGGTCTTGCCTAGAATTAACTAAATCTCCTTATTTTATTAAATATATGGCAACAATACTTTAGAATATAAATTTTTTAAGGTTATGTGTAAAGGAAACAATATCCTTTCGATCAACCCAAAAATTCTATATGAAATAAGAAGTTTAAGCTAAAAATCATCATTAATGTGGAAAAAACCAAGTATTTTACGTCTTGCAATAACGTTTTAAAGGAATTAAACTAATATTACTTACCAATTCAGCAAAAAACTTCCGGTATTTATCAGAATATAAGCACCACTTTTAAAATGGCAATGTTGCGAAATTTAATTTTTTGCAGGGTTAGAAATATATTAGTGATCGTTATTGCCCGATATATCGGTTTTGCCCGAGTCTACCCTACATATATAAAAGCTCAAAGGGTTTTTTTGTTGCATCCATCCCGCCGAAACCGCTTTACCAATTTTGATGATTCTTTTTTTAAATGAAAGGTATATGTGTAGATTTGTTATGAAGTATTTTTATAGTGCTTAATGGCTATTTCTTTGTGAAAAACGACTAAATACTAAAACATACCTGAAAAACACCTACACAAAATACCTCCAGAAATAAATTATTTGTCATTGTCAGTGGTGTGTCAGATTATATATTACGTTTTTAGATATTTTGGAGTGAGTTCATGCCGCCAGCTTTAGATACATAAATATTAGCACAAAGGTTCGTTTAAACGACATTAGTGAATTAGCTACACAAAGCGATTTTAGGAAATTCATCCTCTTAGAGAGTAAAATTATCTCGGAACAGTTTGTTGTATGAAAATTCCTTACTATTTCGTCTAGAAGAATGAAATCCTACAAAAAGAATTAGAAGAAATTTTTGAAATTCATCAACCAAATGGGTAAAGTTAGTAAAAATTTATATAAAACTTGGTGACGTCTGGATTATACACATAAAAATTGGCACAAAGGTAAAGCGAATTTATGAAATTTATACCCTTAGGGAGTAAAATAGGGAATGAAAGTTTGCTGTACGAAAATGCAATACTATAACATTATAAACCAGACAGTATAAAATTTTATACAAGGGTTTATTTAGTGACATCATAAGGAAATATATCTTCCTCAATTATCCTTCAAAGAATAAAAAATAACCTATAAAGAGAGTATTAGTGCTCTTAATAAATAAAAAAAAGATGAAAAATAAAAAACATCTATATGTTCACTAGCTCTCTATAAAGAAGTAAAAAATCATTTAAATCAATGCATAAACGATTCGAGGTGTAACGCGAACGTAGTTGCGAGAAAAAGCTAGTAATTTATTAAATTATTTTATTTAACTCATTAATTTTCATTGAAAAGGAATTTTTGTAATTCGCCACTATATTAGTTAAAAACTAAGAAACTCATATCAAATTTAAGTTTTGCGATTTTGACTTATACTTTTTACAAAATCTGAACACATTTTAAAAGAAAAAAAGTTTTTGATAATATTTGTGTAGATTGACTACAAGTTGTATAACATAAATTTCTACGACCGGTCTACCTAGTGGTCTGCAGCATCGCCGTGTGGTGCAAACGTGGGCCTGTTAATCTGTGACGTGACGCACAACAGCCAAGAAAAACAGAAGCGTGGCTAAGAATTTAGTAATTTAAAAAAAAGTCTTCTAGACACAGTAGTAGGTATTAAAAAGTTTTGTGTTTAAATTGGGTTTGCCTTTAACAGTTAAAAAATTATATCGTAAAGTGTAACTTTCCGTAAGAATTCTTTATCTGTCATTGATCATGATCTGTCATCATGTTAACCTGATGTTTTGTTTGTTATTTTGTTTTTTTCGAGGTTTATTTGCTTGCTTGTTTTACGGATAGGTGCGATCGCATAATTATTATTGATAATGTTTTATTTAATGTTAACACTACTACTTTTTCAGTGAATCTTTAAATCTGTTGTTTTTTGTTAAGTTCGTTATTTAAACATATGTATGTAATACACTCATATTAACACTAATCATATTTTTACGTTTTTATTCATCATTTTCAATGCCCCCCCGGTTGCATCTTTGTAAAGGACTGTGAATTTTTAATTTAGAATAGGTATTGTACTTGGATATATATTTGGAAACACAAAAAAGATATAAAAATCGTTCAAGAGAAATAATTTTATTGATGGTCAAATAGTGTGCCAACGGTAAACATCATTGTTATTTCAGAATTTAGGGCAAACCGCCTACAGAAACACGATGAGCGTATAGAAAGATAAAGCAAACTAACCCTATTGATATCCTAACCCAACAAGGTATACAGAAACAATTAGTCACCCCTTAACATTCCCTAACCGAATTGTGTCCATGTTTAAACTGACCAGACAATATTTGCATTCTACCTCACTCCGGCTATGAGCAAAATTAAATAATAAATATGAAATGGCGAACTCTTTTCAAGCACCTCAGTATATTCAATAAAAGTTTATGCAAAGGCGACACATTTAAACAGGGTGATTAATTTTTTATCTCAAATGATAGATATTTGGAATTGGCATTTAAATGTTATTAGCAAAAGTCTATCTTCAAATTATTAAAATGTTATAATACGCCCCAGATAAAGCTACAATCAAAATACTGTAGCATTTTCATTTTCCAAATGCTACTTTGTTTTATTATAGACGGTATTTTATGATTGTATTGATATTCTTTTTACATTTCTACAACACATAAATTTCGGAACGCTCTTTATCGAAAATATTGGATCGTACCCTGGTGTATTGACAAGGCGGGAAACGTCAAAATTGTCACCTCGGATTTGGCGGTTGCCGAGGTCACAGGGCCATTTTTGAGAAAATTTTATTTGGCTGGTATTTTTTACAATATGGGAAAAATATTGTGATTTTGTTGTCCTATAGATGGATGGAGATCCCATATAGTTTTTGTTTGTTGAGATATTAATGGATCTATAGTTTTGGTAAGATTTTCATTGACATTCCATTCGTTAGAAAAAACCTTCACATGTCTTTCTTTTAGATTCTAGTTTTTTTGATGAGAAGTGTATCCAGCCCTTATTTGAGAAGAAATATTAAATTATTGATTGTGTGCCTTCACAATGAGGTAAATTAATACCGTCGTAAATTTTTCAAGTTTTTTTAAATGTAAGGTTAACTTATACCGTGCATTTCTTTTTAAGTTTTTCTCGACGTTTTTCTTTGGATTTTTCTGTAAGTATTTCTAGACATTTTTCTAGACGTTTCTCTACAGTTTTTCTACACTTGTGTCTAGAAGTTTTTCGCCAAGTTTTTCTACCAGTTTTTCTTCGAGTTTTTCCATCATCGAGTTGATCAGTAGCAGCCTGTTCGGTTAGATTTCAGCGCTGCACCCCTCTGAGGAGAAGTTGGATGCCTTGCTGTTTTTTATCATTAAGAAGATCCTTTTTTAGTATAATTTGGCATACAAGGCCAAGGTAGGGTATTTTTTTTATAGTAAACTAAACTTTTATTAATTTGATTATAAATAATCATTAGTGTGTTAAGAAATTAACTATTCTTAACATTTTACATTTAACCGGTTAAGTACTTGCCTTCAGCATTACTTTAACCTTTAATTTATAAAATTTAACGTTCTGTTATATTTTATATTTTCTTTTAACACTTTAAGTATTCGCCTTCAGCATTGCTTAAATTTTACTTGTATTTGATTATTAAAGTAACCATGTTATATTGATTGATTATTCGGATTTAACATCTATTTATGTTAACATTTTATATCATTACGATCTTTGACCTGTAAGGGCAATCTGGGGTACAGATTTTAAACAAAAAGGTTCATGAATCTTCGTAATAAGTCAAGTCAAATTTAAATATTTATTATTCGAATATAACCAAGACCGTCTCTAAAAGTATTCCTTTTATATTATAATTGTTTGAATACTATTTGAAAACATATAATTTGATTTTAAACAAGTTTTAAGATAGAGTTTCTTAAATATAATTCTTGTATATTAATGTATATAACTGCTGTGCCGAATAGGTACTGAATAATTTCTAACAAGAAATAAATCTTAATCTTTTTTTGGGTATTTGAATTGTTTCATTGGTTGATCCAGTTTCTCAAAATATTTAATAGCTATAGTAATTTTAGTTTCCATCCAATTAATACACTTGTACAAATTTTCTTATTTCAGTTTGTACTATCCTTTGTAAAGTATCAGCATCTTTTTGAAATAAGTGGCGCCCTTTTGTATGCAGTGTAAAGTATAGGCGGGTATCATTTTTTAGCCAAGTGCAGAAGCAAAAGCTTGTTCCCACCGCCTCCGATATAAGGGTAGCTGTTCGCAATATTTTGACTTAAATTTTCAATAAAAGGAAAGTTTTTGTCACAATACCACCAAAAATGTAATTTCGTCATTGTCAAATTCGACGTCACATTCTGAAAGTACCAAATAGAGTAATTTTGTACAAAATATGAGTTTCACAACTTCCGAAAAAGTTACGCTGGTTAAATAGTATTTTGCTCGAAATACAATCCCTGCTGTGTTAGATATGTTCGCGGCTCAGTCTCTAAACAGACATTACTGAATAATCAACAGTTCAAAGTATAATCTAGAGATTTGAAACAATGACACACACTGAACAAATGTACGTGTGAAGATAAAAATATTGAACAGGAGGACAGCAATGATTCGAATATTCTTCTTCGTGTTGAAGAAAATTTAAAACATTAGCTCCTGTCTGCTGGGTGAGGCAGTAGGACCAGATGACATCATTATTCCTCGGACACTCACAAAGAATCTGGGTGGGCTTTAGAAGAAGTCGTCAATAAAGATAAGAGATCTAGGCGTTCAAAGGAAACTTAATTGGGCTTTATCACACCATTAATTCAG